TCGAAGAAATAAGTTTTCGGTCCACTTCATCCCAAAATTATTATCTGATCATCACCGAAAATCATAGTCGTTGTCCTTGACCACTACTGGAACCTCATGGATCAATTCATAGCGGTCTGCTTTACATTTCCGCCCTCCAGTGTGGTAATGGGTTACTAAGTAATATCTCAGTACGTAAGCACCTGTAAATATTTAAGTGTAACTCCCACATCTGAGTACATACGACCATATAATTGGTATCAATTTAAAGGTCAACCACTCCTCTTGGATATGCTATCAACTTTTAAGGTCTTTGGTCTTCATGGGTAAATATATACGCTATATAATACAAATTTTGTCATTTTTCACACAAAAGTCAGGGTCCATTTGACCCGCTAACTATTGACTGATCTTTATTAAAACAAACTTATTCGGGAATAATTTAGTGCTTAACTCCTAGGGCCTAAAACAGCTCCTTATATGGGTACTATAGAGTGTGAAGGGATTATGGTGGATGGTATATCAACGACATTTTCATTGTTTATATATTCTAGTTCGGAATTGATTAAATTATCTGTATTCTTCGCCAGCCTAAAAGCAGCTTTGATCGACGGGTCGAAATATTTCTAACTCAATAAACTCTAAATCACAAATTATAAACTCTACGTATAGAACTTCAAATTACCGTGATACTATCGTGGTTTCAAAGACCGGTGTGAACCGACGGAAATCTAATACATTAGAAGTCGTTGGCATTTCCACCGAATTTCATCTTTGCTTGGTTCTGAATTACAATAGGCGCCCACAAATTTTTGTATTAAAGATCGCCTACTTCAACCTAAAAAATGATATTTATTTCTAGAAGATTCAAACTAGAGAGACCACGTTCTGAAAACAACCATAGATCTCAAAATTTATAAATGTGTGTAAGACTAGAAGCTTTTCTATCAATTGATGTTCCATGAGCTACTCTCCTTCTCTACCTCCAGAATATAGATTTTGAACACTTCACCAGAAAAAATACTAGGTGTTGGGATGATAAGAAATCGCCTTGGCTCACCCTTGACCAAAAACAACAACAAGTCTATGATTGGGAACAGTGCATTGAAATGCAACCACAGAATTTATTTTACTCCAAAATATTACTCCAAATTCATATGTGACTACTTTGAAAAAGGTCCTGGTCCCCAATGACAATTTCAACATAGTAGACCTCAAAAGAATGTTTACTGAGAAGAAATATTTGTCATTTTGCTGGCGTATAGAGACCCACACGTTTTCAACCGGTCAATACAGACACCCTGGGTCATAAAAAGAAGAAGCTGATAGCAGAACAATATAGTCTCTGTGCACTTTAATAATTCACATAATTCTCCTTGACCCGTAGCTGGATTTTAAAGACTCCATGGCCTTCAGCTGGCCTATACAGATTCACCTGCCCTCCGCCGATCAATTTGGCCTTCACGGGGCCTATAAAGATTTCGTGGTTTATACATGCTCAACTGGACAAAACAGACTGCCTGGCGTTTAGCTGGTATTTAAAGAATGTTTGCCCTTTAGTTAGCACATGTATTCATCCGGCCAATAGAGACTCCCTGGACTCCATAAAAAAAAACTGACCGCAAGTCAATACAGTATCCGTGACCTTTAAGTATACAATAAATATTCCCTGGCCTGTAACTGGTCTATAAACCTTATGGCCTTAGGCCTGTCTTTACAGGTTCACCTGACCTCAGCCGATCAAGAATGTTTGCCCTTTAGTTAGCATCACATGTATTCATCCAGCGAAAAGAGACTCCCTGGACTCCATAAAAAAGCTGATCGCAAGTCAATACAGTTTCCGTGACCTTTAAGTATACAATAAATACACCCTGCCATGTAGCTGGTCTATAAAGACCTCATGGCCTTAAGCCTGCCTTTACAGGTTCACCTGACCTCAGCCGATCAATACTAAATTTGATTTCGGACTCTATAAATGTAGAGTACCTTATATAGAAATACTTTTCGAATGTCCCCTATATATCAAAGAGTTTCTGAAGCACTAAAGAACAAATATTTTGTCTACAAAACGCCTTTAGATACAAAATAGACAAACTTCTCCCTTACCGTGTTTCTATAGGATTTTTAAAAACAGAAGCCATTCGGAAGACTTCTATGAATGACAGTTCTAAAAATAATAAACATATTTCAGAAGGTTTCAAAGGAAGATTTATCTTTGTAGACTTTCTGCAGACCTCACATAGAATAAGACAATTTAGGTTAACTCTAGTTTAGTAAAAAAAAATCACTTTTTTGAAAATTTTTTCCAGAGGTAGGTATTATTACCATAATTATGGCGTTATATACAGTTATTTCGCCCGGAATCCAATCGGTTTTTTTAACTTAGTTTGGTCAAAAATAGGCGAATTTAAAACAAAAATCAAGGGTCCGCCATTTTGTTAATTTTTGAGCGAAGTCAATAATCTTAGTTCATACGAGAGCCAGACATGTACTGTTTCTAACACCCGGATTCCGATGTACCAGTGAGGAGTTATCCATGAAAACCTTGAAAATTTAAAATCATGAATGGTGGGTCCCCTTAATATGAGTGCTTTTTAAATTTGGAATGGTCTAAGAGTTACTCAGAGGTCATCACCCCAAGATATCCTGTCTTTAGAAACCAGAATGCTTCTTTAATGGTCTCAGATTTTCTGAACGCCTTCCATAAACTCGTATTTTGACTTCCAATAAGACGTCTTTATATTTATAACTCGATATATTTATTTGTATAAAGAGAACACCGCTAAATCTGCGTACAAATACGCTTCCAAAGTCATTCTAGATATAGAAATGCGATATGTGATTTGGAGACCAGAAGACCTTTCGAAGTAAGAAGACCAAGGATAATTTGTCTTTAAAAAAGGTGATACCCAAGAATCGCCCAGACCAATGCCGGCAACTAGAAGAAATTCTTTCAAAAATATTTTATTCACACATACGAAAATTTTGATCAAGTGTGTCTCAGGTATGGGGCCACCAGATCCTCTGTGTCATATTTTCCGAATCATATTTTCGCGGAATAAAAAAATTACTTCATTAGATTAAAATTTTGTTATTTACACAAATGGAAAATTTGTGATGTTCGGCTGATAATAAAATTTTCGATTTATTTCATTCTCGAAATATCATCTGAATAATCTTCGAAAATTATAGACGTCGTTTTTGGTTTTAACTGTAACACCGTGTAAAACTCCCTAGACATCAGCGCTAAATTTCCGCCCTCTACTGTGGTAATGATAATACTAAAGAATATCTGAATATGTAGACAGCTGTGCAGCTTTAAGTATGACTGTTGCATCCGAATACATACAACAATAAAATTGGTATCAATTTAACAGTCAGTCACTCCTCTTTGATATATTGCCAACTTCTCGTCCTGCTTCTTTAATTTGTCACACAAAAGTCAGGGTCCATTTGACATTCTAAATATTGACCGTTCTCTATTAAAACTGTCTTGCTTGTTTGATAGTTTGACTCGTTTCTGCGCAGTCCATTTTAGGTCCATTTGATCCACTTAATATTAACCGATCATTACCCAAACCAATTGGGGTCTTCTTTGGCCAGAACCCGTCCCACATGCACAATTTTGTGAAGATTGGTCCATAACTATGGTATGGATGGCCACACATATCTAGATCGACCAAGCTTGTCGTGATATTACAATCGGTATACTAAAGGATGAGTCTAGGACAAATATTTCGCAGCGTCACAAACTCTTGTGCCGCATAAGTTTATAATATCCTGACATCATAGTTGTTTAGAGTATAAATACCCAATATGTTCAGAAGACTTCCTGTATATATAGAATATTCATTTGGAATAACTATTTTTTTATTGAAGACCTCCCAAGGGACCTCTAACTTCAGAAGATCTACTCTGAGGACTTTGGAACAAATATGGAACGTCTCACCTAAATATATGACCTTCTAAAGGTCTTCTATGTACAGAAGACCTGAAAATAATATACTACAAATCAAAAAACACCTTCAATCGAGCGAAAATAATTCGCAAATAAAAAAACTATCTAATAAAATAAAAACGAAACACTGACATAAAAAATGCAACACACATTTACAAAACCGGCTTTTCGGATTCAGAAATGAGATATGAAAAATATGCCAATAAAAAAGGAATTAAAAAAATGTGTAGTGGAGTGTTTTTCTGTTATGTCTGCAAATATGGCCGCGCAAAGTTATGGAATTTGAACTTTAAATTAGAGATGTTTCAGTTTTGAGTTTAGGAGAACGGTTATAGTCGATTATTGTTATTAAAAAGCCTAAAAAAATCCAATTGTAAATTAGATGTCTGATTTGTGTCTTTGCTCTCAACGCCAAAAAGACACACCAACAACAACAGCAAAAAAGTGTCTACAGCTGAGTTTAAGCCAGTCAGGGAGTCAGCCAGCCAACCAACAGTTACGGCGGCTTATGGCTTGAAATGTTGTTGATTTCTTGTTGGCGTTGATTTTTGTTGTTGTGTTTTTTTTTAGGTGAGCATAAAAACGCTAAAATTCCAAACATGCGGTTTAGTTCCTCAAAGTAAATTCAACTAGTCAGACCAAAACCTGAAACCAAAGTGGACACACGTTGTTGCGCTGCTACAGCTACCGTCGATCGATCGATATATTGTCTAGCGCGTTCGGGCGAAAAAGAAAAAAAAATATTCATAATAAAAAAAAGACAGGCTTGAAAAAAAATTTAAAAACGGGAAAAATATTTAACGACTTCTATTGTGTTTTAAGTATTACAAAGCCACTAAACAAAATAAGGAACCAGTATTTTGAAAAATATAAAAAATCTGATGTAATGGATTTTGTGTGAGAAAAAAATTGAAAGTAAATGAAAGTGAAAAAATAAGGAAATTTAGAATAAAAAAAATTTTTGAAAGTCATAAAATAAGTTATAAAAAATTAAATATAAATTAGAATAACCCAACCAAACATGTTTCAAATAAAATTGTGCAATTTAGCTATCCTCCTAATTATGGGGATTGGCATGATACAATGTGCACCCATTGAGGTGACAACATCAACGGAGGACTTTCCAGAAATTACCACCATACTACCAAACCTTAGTGAGGAAACTACCCTAGGGACCCTCAACAAAACCCAAGCTGAAGCTATTCCGAATTCCGAAGAAGCGGAACTAAGTTCCCCCATAGACTTAAGGGCCGGTGGTGGCATAGAAAATTATGCCAAAACTTCATATTTTATCCCTGTCGAAGTGAGATTTGATGAAATTGCAAATACCCAAAGTTCTGCGGATAAATCCCGAATTTCTGGGGAAGGATCGCACTCCCAGGAAAATACCACAAATGAAATTCCATCACCAGAAAATACCTCAGAGGACATAACAGAGCCCCAGGATGCCGAAAAAATTAATTCCCAAAATCAAAATGAAAATTCCCCAAAAATCCCCACATTCATTTCGAATGAAAATCATGAACGGAATGTAAAATCCATCACAATTGAAGGTGAAAATGATGAAAAACTAATTTTAAATGATTCCCAAAATGAAAATCAAAATTCCCAATTTGTCCCCGGAAATCCCCAAATTTTATCGGGGCAAAATGTTGATGATATTCAAACAATTAGTGAGGTTCCAGTTATTTTTAATATCCCCGAAAGTGTTACCGAGCCATTCAAGGGCGAAAATCGTGATTCCCAACAAGGAAATGAAAATCCCCACAATTCCAATGAAAATCCCCAAATTCCCGAGGACCACAAAGAAGTCGATATAAACACAACAACAAGTGAAATTCCATCAATTGCCACCGAAAGTATTACAGCAGATTCACTACAAATTGAAAATAGTGAAACTCTTAATGAAAATGAAAATCCCCAAAATAAAAATGAAAATCCCCAAAATGAAAGTTCCCCACAAATCCCAAATTTAAGTGTATCCAATGAAAATCAAACAGAAATAAATTTCTCCATTGTAAGTGAAAGTGAAAATGTGGCTAAAGAAGATGTTAGCGCTTCCCAGGAAGAAAATGAAAAATCCCCTAAAAATGCGCAAAATAAGGGAAGTGAAGAAAATCTAAATTTAAGTGAAGAAATTTCAAAATCCACTACAGAATCAATTAACAGCGATACTACCACTAATTTCATCAATGAAAATCAATCCCAAATTGTAACTGAAAAAATCCTCGAAAATCCCCAAAATATGAAAAGTGAAGAAAAATCGAATTTAAATGAAGAAATTTCAAAATCTACTACCGAAACAATCATTAGTGATATTTCCACAAATTTCAACATTGAAAATTCCCAAAATAAAAATGAAGTCCCAGAAATTACAGAAAATCCCGAAATTAACGAAACCACCATGGCAACTCTAAATGTTTCCCCAGAAACTGAAAACCCCCCAGAAGAATTACTAAAGGCAGTTGAAAGTAACAATCCCCAGGAATATCAAATCATTCCCCAGGAAACTTCAAACAATCCCGTAACTGTTGAAAATGTACCAGAGTTGCCACATGAATCCATAGAGAAAACAACTGAAAACCAATCAACAGTAACAGAAACTTCAGAAAAGGTTACTGAGGGCATTACAGAATCCAGTAATTCCGAATCTGAAACATCTTCCGAAAATCCCCAAAAATCCCCTAAAACGATTTTGACAACCAGTGAAGCCACTGTTAAGGAAATTTCCATGGAAACGGCAAGAAATACTGGTGTAAATATTTTATCCACAAATGCTGAAATTCCCGATCAAATGGCCGTGGAATCGCAAAATGGAGAAACTTCCCCAGTAACCCATACAATTTCAGAAAATCATGTGGCAACCTCAACAATTGCGACAAGTAATTCCTACATCGAGGAAAACGCAACAGTAACTCAAGATTTGGAAACAACTACGGAAAATAATCAGAATACCTCAGATTCCCAAATTCCAACAGAAAATTCCCAAAAATTCCCAATTTTGAATGAAAATATCCCCACCGAAGAAAATAGCACCAAATTGGAAAATTCTTCCCAAAAATTAATGGAAACATCATCGGAAATAAATTTCGCCGAACCAACCACGGAAAATATGGAATCCCTTATTATGTCCGAAAATCCCCAATTTTCCCCGGTAACTGAAAATATCCCCACAGAAGAAAATACCACCAAATCTGAAAGTTCTTCAGAAAAATCAATGGAAACTTCATCAGAATTAAATACCGCCGAACAAACCACCGAAAATATGGCATTCCCAGTGATTTTCGAAAATTCCCAAATTTCCCCAGTAACAGAAAATGTCAGTGAAGGATTGATTTCAAACAAATCGCCCAGTGAAATTGTCACTGAAACTCAACAAAATGACAATTCCCAATTGCTTGTAGAAAATCCCCAAATTGTTCCAGTGTTGCCATATAATCAGTCCGATAAAATATATGTGCAAGTTATTCAAGATCCTATAATTACAGAAACTCAACAACCCTCGGAAGTTAACTCTGAAATTCCATCAACTTCCCCAGAAGTGCCCACAATTCCCGTTGATATGGTAATTTTAACTGAAACCAGCCCTAAAATCGAAGCTGTTGAACAAACTACCAAAAATATTAACTTCAATGCCCAATTGCCTACGGAGGATTCTCAAAATGCAGGAGTCTATATGCTAATGGAAATGTTTGTCCCAGAGACAGTACAAGAAACTCCCAAAGATCCTCAAGAAACTCCAGAAACAACAACCCAATTTTCAGAACTTTATCACAGCAGAGAAGGCAAAAGTTTAGAAATCACTTCCAGCGAAAATAAAGAAAGCGTGGAATCGACCCCAGCAGCTCTGGAAGAAAATGTTGGTGAAGAATCCATGACAGCAACTCAGGTAGCAGATAGAGAAGATTCTGAGACAACCTATGAAAATCCTGGTTTTATAAAATTAAATGATCATTCGGATATAATGGACGATAGAAGCTTCCCCACAACAACTTTGGAAACAGGTGCTACAGAAATTCCACAAGCATCCGGGGAAAATCAAACAAATGGGGAAACAAATGTAACCAATGCACCTTCAATTTTGAGTGAAGATCAATCCGAATCTACAGCAAAATTAGAAGAAGTTGCATTGATGAGTGAGGAACAAACTACCTCAACAAAAGCAGCAGCTACAACAACTACCACAGAATCGACTATGAAATTCGAAGAAACCACTTTGTCAAATCTGGAAGTCAAAGACCAAGAAATGTCCACTTCAATGCCAGAATCAGCAACAACCACATCAATGCCATATGTAATGACAAATGGCAACACTGAACGCAGCAGTACGGAGAAAATGAACGATGAGCCCTCGGCCACAACAATAAATCAATTCGCTTCCCTTTTGGCCGAAACTGAAATGAATGTCCACAAAGCATTTGAAACACTACGCGAATATATTTCTCATGGTCAAATAATGGAAGAGACAACAAAGAATCCTGGTTTTAATTATGGGTGTCGATGTGACAACAACAGGTCCAATCACTAAAGATGATTCTACAATGAAGGCGATGGAGGAATCGACAAATGGTGAACTTGAAAATTCAACAAATATGCCAGTCTCAGGTGCGAAAAACGAGGATGATATGGACATTCCCAATACAACAACGAATTCTCCTGTGACCGAAGATATTCAAATGGCCACCGAGGAAAGTTCAGGTGCTATGGACATAAAAGAGCAATCGACGGAGTCTACGGCAGTTACAGACAGTATGGCCACAACAACAGAACAAGGTAAGTCTGAAGATACAGAGTGAATATCGTAAATATTTGAGGAAAGATAAATGGGAAATTACAATACAGGTCCAATAAATAAATTTAGAAAAAAATAAATATTTTCATTGGTAATTTCATTATCAGTTCACAAGGAACTGATAACCCTATGTACCCAAAAGGGAGACCGTGGCCTGTAGGAATTTAGATCATCAAGCTCGACTCGAAAGAGTATAAATAATCACTGGAAATGGGAAATTATTTTTCGGGATGTTATACCTTAGCGAGAGTAATTCGATAAAGAGCATGTATTTGAGTTATAGAGTGATGAACTTTTTGATAGTGAACCTGCAAGGAAAAGGCTATAAAGCTGTCACTTAAATCGAATGGGGATTTATTAGTAGAAAACTACCTGCTTCTATCTTATGAGCAGAATTTTTATACCCTCCACCAGGTGTTGTACATTCAAATTCCCTTCTCCATGGGTTGTGTTGTGATGTTTGGCTTTCAATTGTGGCCTATAGGTCGACTCGAAAACACACAAAAAATTAAGTTTTTGGTCTTCATCAGAAAAATTAGTATCTGATAATCACCTAAAATTTATGACGTTGTCCTTGGCCACAACTGGCACCTCATGGAACATTTCAAAGCGATCAGCGCTATATTTCCGCCCTCCAGTGTGGTAATAGGTTACTAAATAATATATGAATACGTAAGCACCTGTAAATATTTAAGTGTAACTCCCGCATCCGAGTACCTACTACAATATAATTGGTATCAATTTAAATGTCAACAACTCCTCTTGGATATACTATCAACTTTTCGGGTCTATGTCCTTCAGAAGTAAATGTATACGCCATAGAATACAAATTTTGTAATTTTTCACACAAAAGTCAGGGTCCATTTGACCCGCTAAATATTGACCGATCTTTATCAAAACAAGTATGCTTATTCTTTGGTCCGATTGCCTTATCCATGTAAAAATACGAGATGTTTGGGCCATAATTGCGGCTTCTGAAGCGACCAGAAAATCCCACAAAAATTACGTATTTGGTCCATTTTATCCCCTAAATATTAACCGATCTTTACCAAAAACAATAGGGGTCTTCATTGGCCAGACCCCATCCTACATGCAAAATTTCGTGAAGATTGGTCCATAACTGCGGCCTGTATCGTGTTTACAAATTATAATGGACAGACGTACGGACGGACGGACACACATGTCTAGATCGACTCAGCTAGTCGAGATGTGACGATCGGTATATTTAAAGGTGGGTCTAGGACCAATATTTCGCAGCGTTACAATCTCTTGGGGCTGCACAAAGCTAATATACCCTGACAACATAGTTGTGTAGGGTATAAAAATAAATATTTTTAAGGAAATCCTTTACTAAAATGTTTATCATGGGACATAAAAGGTCCAAAGGTAAAATTCTTTAACATGGTTGATAACCCTATATAGTGAAAAGTAGAAGATGGGAAATTATTGTTCGGGATGACATACCTTAGCGGGTGTATTTTGCCAAGGATGAACTTATTGATAGTGTGCAATGCAGAAGGAAAAGGATATAATGCTGTCACTCAAATCGAATGCGGATATTTTAGTAGAAAGCTCCGTGCTTCTATCTTATGAGCCGAATTTTTATACCCCTTACGAGGTGGTATGCATTCAAAGTTCCTTAAGACGATCGGAGCATAACTATGGAGTCAATTTTATTTCATTATGTGATAGTAGGTTGTTTAAACTCCGAAAATAGTATTCCAAATTACAGACAGGCTAAAAATTCAAATTCCTAACTGTCAAAGCTGTGATTTTAATGCAAAAGTCATTTCGGCTAGAACTCAGTCCTCATTTTTAGGTTGCGGAATGCTACAGTTGTTTGAAGTGTTTTTTTCTTACATAAATATGACCATGAATGACCGATGCACATATCATTTTCGTAATTTTCTTTGCTAAATATATGGACCTTAGGCTTCATTGGTGTGCTTTTGATATGATTGAGCTTAGATCAGGGTTAGCCAACAATACATATGCAAACTACTATGATTGTGTTGGACACGCGCATATATCCGTTGGGAGAGTAATTTTCGTTCTCTCGGTAGAGATCGCATATGATAAAGCATTGCAAAGCATACAACATGTTCGATGTCGAGAATAATGTTGAGTTCGAACACAGAACTGTGATTGTATTGGTACTCTCTCAAAGCGCCCGCGGGCGCCTGTTTGGTGAACATTGGCTTAGATTTCCACTGCATAAACACAAATGCATGACTCTTCACCATTAGGAATAGATGTGGATACGTCTATCTTATCATTAACAATGTCAATGCTATTATGTGGACTAAACAGCTGCAAGCAAAACAGATGCAAACAATTGTTTATTCATCCAAAATAGATTATTCGGCAAAAAAAAGTCTGAGTACCAACATATGGCAATGAGTCAATGTCGATGACAAATTCACCTATTAATATTGTATGTTAAAAATTAGGCTTAAAGTTGAAAATTTCAATTTGTGTACACAAAGAAAAATGAAAAATATTTGTTTTCACAATTTTACAATTTTTCATTATTCATTTGGCAGAATCAAGGTCTTTGTACGATCGGACTGAAAAAGAGAAAACAAGCTGTTTGAATTTATTTTAATGTTGGCACATATTATAGTGTGTAAGGTTGAGATAAATGAACAGAAGTTGATATGTGAAGTTTGGTGGTGGGTAAGTTCTCTAAATATTATTGAAAATAAGGAACGTATAGGGACATATCAGTCAGTATTAATACCACGATAAATTTGTCAACTTTTTATTTTTATATAAACTATAGGACTGTATTTAACATGCTTCAGAATGTCCAATTTGGACCAAATTTGCACCGTTTTGTTGTTATTTTAAAGGTAACTTAAAGTGCCTCTCATATAAGATCTGCTTTCTATTTACAAAAAAACTCTAGTAGTCGATTTTCACAATCCTCCGTAGATACCAATTTTTTATTATTAAAGAAATTTTGCAATGCAAGAAAAAGAGGAAAATCGCTTGGTGCCAAGTCCGGACTGTATGGCGGATGCATTAAAAATTCCCAACCAAGCTCCCAAAGATTTTGGCGAGTCGCTGTAGATGTGTGTGGCCTAGCGTTGTCCCGGTGCATCGCGACACGTCTCTTGTTGGCCAATTCTGGTCAATTTTAAATGTTTTAAAACAGATTTATGGTCGATTTTTAGATCCTGGGCGATGTTACGATTGCAAACATGCCGGTCAATTTCGATCATTTCTGCGATTTTATCGACATTTTCGACGAAGGGCCTAACTTTGTGAGGTGCATCTTTAACTTCAAAAAATTTTGAACGGAATCTACGAAACCAAAATTGCACATAATTGGCAATTTTAGCCGCTTGGTTTGCATTTCCGCCATTGTCAAAGACTGTAAAATTCACCGAATTCTCTCTTTGTTCACATCCATTTTTTATACCCTGTAACTTACAACTGAATGCACCAAACAAATAAAAAGCAAAATCATTTCTTTACTGCGAAATGACAACCTTTGAACAAGCATAAATCTGAAATTGTTTAATCGATACTGTACGAAAAATATATCAGTACAGTCATCTGCCGAAAAAATAATGGATTTCTTTTCCCCCCAACATAATATATTCAGAGGCATATTTAAGTAAAGTATTTAAGTAAGGCCTCCAAAAATATGTTTAAAAAATCCACGACTAATGTTAGACCTAAAACAATCCACGCCCAATACTAGGCCTCCAAATTTTTTTTTTTAAATCAACGCTATATGTAAGGCCTCCAAAAAGTATTCTTTAAGGGGAATTCCCCACCCCCCAATTCACGGTGTCAATTTTTTTTAATTCGAATCTACACTAATTTAGGAATTTCCCTACAAAATTTCAAGTGAAAATCTCAACAACTCTTGAAGATATAGCCGATTTATTGTGTCTGCATCAAGTGACGGCTAAAGGGCTTCTCAAACTTTAAACGCGGTTTTTTCCAAACATTGGTTTTGCGAATGCCGGGCACGATATCTCAAAAACTAATAACCCAGTCGATTCCAAATTCTTACACGTCTCTCTGCGAGTGTATAGCTATCGTATGAACTAAAGCCAATAGGTGAAGATCTTCCTTATTATACACTACACAACTATGTTGTCAGGGTATTATAGCTTTGTGCAGCCCCAAAAGTTTGTAACGCTGCGAAATATTGGTCCTAGACCCACCTTTAAGTATACCAATCGTCATATCTCGACTAGCTGAGTCGATCTAGACATGTGTGTCCGTCCGTCCGTCTGTCCATTATAATTTGTAAACACGATACAGGCCACAGTTATGGACCAATCTTCACGAAATTTTGCATATAGGATGGGTTCTGGCCAATGAAGACCCCTATTGTTTTTGAGATCGGTTAATATTTAGGGGATGAAATGGACCAAATACTAAATTTTTGTCGGTTTTTCTGGTCGCTCCAGAGGCCGCAGTTATGGTCCGAACATCGTGAAATTTTACATGGAGAAGGGGATCGGGCCTAAGAATAAGCATGCCTTTTTTGATAAAGATCGCTCAATATTTAGCGGGTCAAATGGACCCTGACTTTTGTGTGAAAAATTACAAAATTTTTATTCTGGTACGTATATACTTGCTCCTGAAGGACATATATTCGAGATGTTGATAGTATGTCCAAGATGAGTTGTTGACCTTCAAATTGATACCAATTATATAGCTGTATGTACTCCGATGCGGGAGTTATACGTAATTAAGTAAAGGTGACTATGTGCATATTATTAATATTACTCCATTAGAGGACGGAAATGTCGCGCTGATCGCTTTGAAATTGTACATGAAGTTCCGATTATAGTCAAGGACGACGCTTATAGTTTTCGGTGAAGTTGAGATTTCATTCAGGGGGTGCAATGAACCGAAAACTTTAGTTTTGTCAGATTTTCTAGTCGCTTTAGAGGCAATTATTATATACAGAACATCGTATATTTTACAAGGTGAAGGGGATCTGACCAAATACTTAGAGCGGCTGTTTAGATGATGATCGGTCAATTTTCCGAGGGTCATATCAACCAAAACCTATAGTGACCAATTTTTTATTATATGGCGTAAAAATTCTCTTTAAGAAAAAAACATTTTGGAAAATATGCAAGACTTAGAAATAGGAGTTGTTGATCTATAATCTGTAAAAAAGGTTGGAAATATCACGAAATATTGCCAAGGCTCAGAATATAGAACCGCCGAAAGTGTGCTTTTCGTGGTAGTTGTGTAGGGTATCATATGGTCGGCCCCGTCCTACTATACTGCTCCGCTCACTGGTTTTTTAAATTGGTTTGTGGAAAAAAATCGGCGATTTTCCAAAAATATTTTTTCAAAGGTCCGCCATTTTGTTAATTTTAGAGCGAAGTCAATAACCCTAGTTCATACGAAAAAAACAATAACAATTTTTTTTTTGTAAATTATTTTTCCTCTCTTTTAAATCTTTAAATGTATATGTGCAAAGTTACAAACCTTAACAAGCATCGGTATCTCAAAAGCATTTTGAGAAAAAAAAAACATTTTCAGATTCTACTAATTTTACCTGACACCCTACTTGCTCTTATTTAAAGCCGAATTTGTATAAAAGTTTGTTTGAAAATATCTAATAATATTTTTGCTTTGCTATTTATTAGGTGTGGCAGAAACAACAATTGTTCCAACCCTTGCACGAGTCCAATTAGAAAAGGATTTGACTAGCATCAACTTGACATATCTCGATGACTCCAGCGAGGAAGAAATGGAAAATGACCGAAGCAAAGAACATCAGGTATCACAAGGCAACTCCCAAGAAAAATCACAAGAAAACCAAACACCCACTACCACCGAAACGAATGACTTTGAAACGGCAACGGGAATAACCGAAATGGTTAAATTCATCAAACATGAAACCGAGTCGACGACAACAGCATCGGAGGAAGTCAAAACTATGTTGCCACAAACACAAGCCACATTTATGCAGGAACAAGAGCAACAAATTGAAACCACAACAGTTAAAGAAATGAATTCATCAAGTACCGCCAATGTTGGAGAAAAAGAAGAGGAAGAACAATCAACTGAAACAGCGACAGAAATGTCTTCAAATTCCACAGAGAAAAATGACGATTCCACTGAAACATCTCATAGTGTTTTGACAACTACGGCAACACCTTCATCTGAAGCGAGTAGCACAGTCTCCAGTGTTATTACAACAACATATAAATCTGAAACAAGAACAGATTTACCAGAAACAACAACCACAATGGTACCTGAAACAACAACATATCTTCCAGAGACAACAACGACGTTGACAGATATCAGCGAAGAAACAACAACATTTAGCCCTGAAGAATTAACAACAACAGTGACCGAGGAACCGGAAATTGAAACCACAACCCTGTTGACAACAGTGGCACCCGAACCTCGTTCACTGCCCCCACCAAAATTAGAATATTTACAAAGTGAAGATGGTGTAGAGGTCTTCTATGGCTATTCAATAGTTAAGCATAATTAATTTATTAAAAAAACAACAACAAGAAAATCTTCAACTCATAAAAATCTTAATCTATTTGTTAATCGCTCTCATTTGTTTCGTATGTATAACCACCTTTTTCCATGTTTTTTATTTTTTTTTCGTATAGTATTTTTAAACGTAAACTATTTCAAATATTTCGCGTGTATGCTAAACTTATCTATCAATTTAATCCCTCCATTATATATTTATAGTATATGTTTTTTTTTATTTTTGTCTCAACTTTTGTTTTTTTATTATTTCATTTCTATTCTTCACACGCTAATAAAGCTCACAAATTTATGCCATACAATTTAAATAAAATTAGTAAAAAAAATCTGAACATAAAATATGTTTATAAAAATATCTTAAGTTATTTAAGAATGTGATAAATGTCGATGTATGTATCTGTGTAGTTTAGGCATATGACAACAAATATAACAAAAATAAATAAATATGTATAAATAATGTTAATTTGAATTTATAGTGTGTATTATTTAATGGAATTTGAAATAGCCATCGAACAACTATTCTTTAAAAAATCCACGCCTTTTGCTAAGCCTCCAAACATATTCTTTAAAAAATCCACGCCTTTTGCTAAGCCTCCAAAAATATTCTTTAAAAAATCCACGCCTTTTGCTAAGCCTCCAAAAATATTCTTTAAAAAATCCACGCCTTTTGCTAAGCCTCCAAAAATATTCTTTAAAAAATCCACGCCTTTTGCTAAGCCTCCAAAAATATTCTTTAAAAAATCCACGCCTTTTATAGGCCTCCAAAAATATTCTTTAAAAAATCCACGCCTTTTATAGGCCTCCAAAAATATTCTTTAAAAAATCCACGCCTTTTATAGGCCTCCAAAAATATTCTTTAAAAAATCCACGCCTTTTGCTAAGCCTCCAAAAATATTCTTTAAAAAATCCACGCCTTTTGCTAAGCCTCCAAAAATATTCTTTAAAAAATCCACGCCTTTTGCTAAGCCTCCAAAAATATTCTTTAAAAAATCCACGCCTTTTGCTAAGCCTCCAAAAATATTCTTTAAAAAATCCACGCCTTTTGCTAAGCCTCCAAAAATATTCTTTAAAAAATCCACGCCTTTTGCTAAGCCTCCAAAAATATTCTTCAAAAAATCCACGCCTTTTGCTAAGCCTCCAAAAATATTTTTTAAAAAATCCACGCCTTTTGCTAAGCCTCCAAAAATATTCTTAAAAAAATCCACGCCTTTTGCTAAGCCTCCAAAAATATTCTTAAAAAAATCCACGCCTTTTGCTAAGCCTCCAAAAATATTCTTTAAAAAATCCACGCCTTTTGCTAAGCCTCCAAAAATATTCTTTAGAAAATCCACGCCTTTTGCTAAGCCTTCAAAAATATTCTTTAACAAATCCACGCCTTTTGCTAAGCCTCCAAAAATATTCTTTAAAAAATCCACGCCTTTTGCTAAGCCTCCAAAAATATTCTTTAAAAAATCCACGCCTTTTGCTAAGCCTCCAAAAATATTCTTTAAAAAATCCACGCCTTTTGCTAAGCCTCCAAAAATATTCTTTAAAAAATCCACGCCTTTTGCTAAGCCTCCAAAAATATTCTTTAAAAAATCCACGCCTTATTATGGGCATCCAAAAATATTCTTTAAAAAATCCACGCCTTTTATAGGCCTCCAAAAATATTCTTTAAAAAATCCACGCCTTTTGCTAAGCCTCCAAAAATATTCTTTAAAAAATCCACGCCTTTTGCTAAGCCTACAAAAATATTCTTTAAAAAATCCACGCCATTTGCTAAGCCTCCAAAAATATTCTTTAAAAAATCCACGCCTTTTGCTAAGCCTCCAAAAATATTCTTTAAAAAATCCACGCCTCCAAAAATATTCTTTAAAAAATCCACGCCTTTTGCTAAGCCTCCAAAAATATTCTTTGAAAAATCCACGCCTATAGGAAGGCCTCTCAAAAATATTCTTTAAAAAATCCACTCTTACAGGAAGGCCTGAAAAAATAATCTTTAAAAAATCCACGGCTATTGTAAGGCTTCTGGAAATAATCCTTAAAAAACCACGCCTATTGTAAGGCTTCTGGAAATAATCCTTAAAAAACCACGCCTATTGTAAGGCTTCTGGAAATAATCCTCTCAGAAAATTGTCTTTAAAAATCCATGCCTATTCAAAAAGCCCTCCCAAGACCTCTCAGAAAAAATTCTTTAAAAAACCACGCCCATTCAAAAAGCCCTCCCAAGGCCTCTCAGAAAATGTTCTTTAAAAATCCACGCCTATTCTAAAAGCCCTCCCAAGGCCTCTCAGAAAATTTTCTTTAAAAATCCACGCCTATTCTAAAAGACCTCCCAAGGCCTCTCAGAAATTTTCTTTAAAAATCCACGCCTATTCTAAAAGACCTCCCAAGGCCTCTCAGAAATTTTTTTTAAAAATCCACGCTTACTCTAAAAGCCCTCCCAAGGCCTCTCAGAAAATTTTCTTTAAAAATCCACGCCTATTCAAAAAGCCCTCCCAAGGCCTCTCAGAAAATTTTCTTTAAAAATCCACGCCTATTCAAAAAGCCCTCCCAAGGCCTCTCAGAAAATTTTCTTTAAAAATCCACGCCTATTCAAAAAGCCCTCCCAAGGCTTCTCAGAAAATTTTCTTTAAAAATCCACGCCTATTCAAAAAGCCCTCCCAAGGCCTCTCAGAAAATTTTCTTTAAAAATCCACGCCTTTTCAAAGCCCTCCCAGGGTTTCTCAAAAATGTTTCTTTAAATATCCACGCCTATTCAAAGCCCTCCCAGGGTTTCTCAAAAAATTTTCTTTAAATATCCACGCCTATTCAAAGCCCTCCCAGGGTTTCTTAAAAATCTTTCTTTAAATATCCACGCCTATTCAAAGCCCTCCCAGGGTTTCTCAAACATTTTTCTTTAAATATCCACGCCTATTCTAAGCCCTCCCAGGGTTTCTCAAAAATTTTCTTTAAAAATCCACGCCTATTCTAAGCCCTCCCAGGGTTTCTCAAAAATTTTTCTTTCTTTTTTCGCCTTTCGCTAAGCCTCCAAAACTAATCTTCACAAAATACACGCCTATAGTAAGGCCTCAAAAACGAATCTTTAAAAAATCCACGCCTATAGTAAGGCCTTTCAAAAATATTCTTTAAAAAATCCACGCCTATAGTAAGGCCTCTCAAAAATATTCTTTAAAAATCCACGCCTATTGTAAAGCTTTGAAAAATATTCTGTAAAAATCCACTGTAAGGCCTAACATTTTTTTTCAGAAATCCTCGCCTATTTTAGGGCCTATGAAAAATATTCTTTAAAAATCCACGACTATTCTAAGGTGTATAAAAGGTCTGCACCTAATGTCCATACATATATCTAACGAAAAATGTGTACATATTCATATATGAATAATTTAAGTCTATTAAAAAGTGTCTGGTTTTTGAATGAGAATGAAACTGTTTTAGAGGATTGTAAACCAGTTTAAATTACTGAAACTGAAATCGATACGCTTTCTTGTTGTTGTTGACGATATATTCTTAGCTTAAAAAGAATTTTAGCTGTTAATACCTGCAGAAAAAATATGTAAAAATTAATCGCTTAAAACAAACACAAAAATAAATACCAAACTAGTTTCTTTTCAATGAGAAGGTGAACTTTTTATAATAAAAACAAAATAAATTAAAATAAAAAAAAATCTGGTATATAAATTTTAAATACGAAAAAAATGTGTTCCATAATTTCAATGAATCATATAATTAGAAGTAAAACAACACACATGAGGTGACCAGATTTTTTGTTAAATCATCAGTTGGAATTTATGAATGATTGTAACTGTTTTTTTTCCTGAGAATAATTATTCTTGAATTACTTCGGAGAGCAGAAGTGGCCATTACGAAATTCCCTATAAAGAAATATTCTTACGAATATTCAGATTATTTTTATTCCGCTCACAAACCCCAAATAGTTCACTTACGTGTTCTGGTCATTCCGCTTTGAAGAAGTGGAGAACATGTGTAGGACAATATCAATATGTGGTGTATGCGTGTGATTCATATGAATTGGAATTGGATATTCCAATGACGCTTAACAAAAGAAATTCGAAGCGTACACAATGATCAGATTATTAAACGTTTTTACTCATTAATATGTGTTTGTAGTTATTATCAAACATTATAAAATTTATGAATGGCAAATTCGATGTGAATTTTAATTAAAAATAAAAGATATCCCAAAAAAAAATTCATATTTATGCTAAACATGACCTTCATGGTTATATATTTGTTTAATAACATTTTTATAAAAAATCCACATTCCAATTTTGATTTGAATAAGAAAAGCATTTATTTGAGTCATGCATGAGTTTATGCACCAGGGGTCACCTAGATTCCCGCAAATATGACTAATTAGGTTGGAGATGATATTTGGAGAAACCGCGCCACTTATAAGGCTCTGAAAAAATAATCTTTAAAAAAATCCACGCTACTTATAAGGCTCTGCAAAAATAATCTTTAAAAAAATTCACGCCTATTCTAAGGCCTCTGAAAAAATATTCTTTAAAAAATCCACGCCTCTCAAAAATATTCTTTAAAAAATCAACGCCCCTCAAAAATATTCTTTAAAAAATCCACGCCTCTTAAAAATATTCTTTAAAAAATCCACGCCCCTCAAAAATATTCTTTAAAAAATCCACGCCCCTCAAAAATATTCTTTAAAACATCCACGCCTCTCAAAAATATTCTTTAAAAAATCCACGCCCCTCAAAAATATTCTTTAAAAAATCCACGCCTCTCAAAAATATGCTTTAAAAAATCCACGCCCCTCAAAAATATTCTTTAAAAAATCCACGCCTCTCAAAAATATGCTTTAAAAAATCCACGCCTCTCAAAAATATTCTTTAAAAAATCCACGCCTCTCAAAAATATTCTTTAAAAAATCCACGCCTCTCAAAAATATTCTTTAAAAAATCCACGCCTCTCAAAAATATTCTTTAAAATATCCACGCCTATTGTAAGGCCTCTCAAAAAAATTCTTTAAAATATCCACGCCTATTGTAAGGCCTCTCAAAAATATTCTTTAAAAAATCCACTCCTATTTTAAGGCCTCTGAAAAATATTCTTTAAAAATCCACGCCTCTTATAAGGCCTAAAAAGATTACAACATTTTGTCCTCCAGTGTAAAAATCTCAAAGCACTTGTTCGATTAGTTATTTTTAATTGAGTTGAAAGAAGTGACCAAAACAGAGAAGAGAAAAAAATGTAAAAAAGATTAACAACAAATTAATAACAAGACGGTAAAAATATGCCGCACACGTCGTTCGAGCATTGACGACGACCTTCAGTTCGTAAAATATTTTTTTTTTTTTTGTTTAGTTTAAATGCTGCAAAATGACTGTAACCTGTCCGCTAGCGCCAATTATCAAGTTCAGCGTTTAACACAGCTGGGACGCACAATGAATTTTTGTCAATCAATTTGTTTTGGAGTTTCGGACATTCCCTTTATGCAGTCCGTCGTCATCATCGTCGCATTGACGAACCTATGACGAACCAATTAATCGTCACAACGATTATAAAGTTGATGATGGGCGTTGTTGTTGTTATTTTCGATAATTAGCATTCATAGATTGTTGTCAGCTCAATGGGATTTACAACGTTAATTCGCCACTATTAAATTCCAGACATCGAAAAATATATCATATGTCAAACACCTTTGTATTGAATGTTACACTTTAGTGAATTGATAATGAATGAAAATGTTTATGCTGTTTGATTTAAATATGTAATAATTAGGTTATATGAAATGACCTTCGAAAGGTCTTCCGAAGCAAGAAAAAATTAAGGTATTTTATAGGCGTGGATTTTTTAAAGAATATTTTTGAGAGGCCTTACAATAGGCGTGGATTTTTTAAAGAATATTTTTGAGAGGCCTTACAATAGGCGTGGATTTTTTAAAGAATATTTTTGAGAGGCCTTACAATAGGCGTGGATTTTTTAAAGAATATTTTTGAGAGGCCTTACAATAGGCGTGGATTTTTTAAAGAATATTTTTGAGGGGCCTTACAATAGGCGTGGATTTTTTAAAGAATATTTTTGAGATGCCTTACAATAGGCGTGGATTTTTTAAAGAATATTTTTGAGAGGGCTTACAATAGGCGTGGATTTTTTAAAGAATATTTTTGAGATGCCTTACAATAGGCGTGGATTTTTTAAAGAATATTTTTGAGATGCCTTACAATAGGCGTGGATTTTTAAAGAATATTTTTGAGATGCCTTACAATAGGCGTGGATTTTTTAAAGAATATTTTTGAGATGCCTTACAATAGGCGTGGGTTTTTTAAAATATTGTTAACGTCAATTTATTTGCAAATTCTAAACCATTGCTAATTGACAATGAAATTGCCAGTCATTGAAATAATTTATGCCCAAAAATGTTTCTAATTTAATATGTAAATATTGGATAATAATGTCGTATACGAAAACTAAATATGATAATCTATGACTAATTTTCAGCTAATTCCAGTTATGACGAAGCGTTTATTGACATGTCGTCGTGTTGGCGGACGTGTTAAATTTCATTCAAATCCCTTTATAATTGAGTATATTGGTAACGTACATGATTACATAAAGTAAATTAATAAAAAAAAAACAGAAATACAAATATGGATGGACACTGGTAAGGTGATACAATTATAAGCTTTAAATAAAATTATAAAAATTATTTTAAATTGAAAAGGTTTTAAAAATTGGCCACAATTTACAAAATCTTTTTTACTTTTTGGGGAAAAAAAGTTTAATGGTTTGTCTTCATAGGAACTTTAATTCTAGACATCTGTTCGATGTTCAAAATATATTTACTCCGAAAATAGCTTCGAATAATTTTTGGAGACATTTCCTAATATTGGATTCTCCAAAAAGTATGCAATATTTTTTATCAGAACATTATATTTTCGAAATATCAAGTGTTTCAGTTCTTCGACTATAATTTTAGTAAAAAACAATTATAATACATGCCACTTACCGGTTTTGGGTATATTAATCTGCAAAAAAAGAATACAAACATGTAATATCAGTAAGATAAAGGTACAGATATTCAATTATAAATATAAATCAAAATAGAATTTGAATTTATTTTGAATATTTTTATACATTTTTACCCACCTTAATGTGTGTCACCATTCAAAAATTTGAATTTCAAATGAAATGTCACAATTTGCATCAAAAATATTACGAATTTTAAAATAAATTCTTTAAAGTTTAAGTGGAATTTTATGAATTTCAAATGGAATTTTGTGCATCTCAAATTGAATTCTATGAATTTCGAAAGGTATAAATTACTAATGAATTTTAATTTTTTATATTTTATTAAATACGAAAAAATTCATATTTTATTTAAATTAGAGCTAATAAATGTAAACAAATATATATGTCCGATTTGGGCCAAATATGCACCGTTTTGTTGTATGATTTTTTGTCAGTTTAAAGGTAACTTCATAATGTCTCTCTCATAGAAGTCCTCTATTTGTAAAAAAAAAACTGTAGTAGTCGATTTTCACAATCCTCCTTAGATACAAAATTTTTATCATTAAAGAAATTTTGCAATGCAAGAAAAAAATGATAATCTCTTGGTGCCAATCCGGACTGTATGGCGGATGCATTAAAATTTCCCAACCAAGCTCTCGAAGTTTCTGGCAATTCACTGTAGATGAGTGTGACCTAGCGCTGTCCTAGTGGAACGCGACACCTCTTCTGTTGGCCAATTCTGGCCGTTTCTGATCAAGTGCTATCTTCAAACGGTCCAGTTGTAAACAGTAGATATCAGAATTTAGCGTGCGGCCGTATGGAATCAACTCATAATAAATAATCCCCTCCCAGTCCCACCAAATGCATAGCAGAACCTTCCAGGCCGTTAGTCATGACTTGGTCACGGGTTTAGGTACTTCACCGCTCTTTGACAACGATCGTTTTCACACAGGGTTATCGTATGTGATCCATTTCTCATCTCCAGTCACCAACCGTTTAAGAAATGGGTCTATTTCATTCCGTTTGGTAAAATTTTCGCAGATGGAAATTCAATCCATCCTAGTTTTTTTTTCTGTTAAGACATTCAATTCGCCTGATATTGGATTTACTAATATTGAAAATTTTGACCATTTGTGGTGGAGGTACCAGAAAGAGTGAACCAATGGGTCCCATCTTCGGACCTAATCTATACTTCTTAAGGATAATGGGTTATGCAAAATTTGGTTCACATCGAAGCTTCCATTCGCCTGATATTGGATTTACTAATATTGAAAATTTTGACCATTTGTGGGGCTGGTACCAAAAGGAGTGGACCAATGGTTCCCATCTTCGGACTTGATCTAAGGTTGGTAAAGATATTATCTTTACAAAGTTCTACAAAGTTTCATTAACATCGGATAGTCCGTTTGCATGTTATAATAAAAATAATTTTTAGCAAAAAACCCACAAAATTTTCAATGTGGGGGAGGTACTGGAAGAAGTGGACCAGTGGGTCCCATCTTCAAACTTGATCTAGGCTTGGTAAAGGTAATAGGTTGTGTAAAGTTTGGTTCAAAACGAACATTCCATTAGCTTGATATTGGTATTGTAAATATTGAAAATATTGACCCTCTGTGAGGACCAGTGGGTCCCATCTTCAAACTTTATCTAGGCTTGGTAAAGATAATAGGCTGTATAAAGTTTTGTTAAAATTGGATAGTCCGTTTGCATGTTATTATAAAATAAATTTTTAGCACAATTTTAAATATTTTGTGGGGGAGGTACTCGAAGGAGATGACCGATATTCCCCATCTTCGAACTTTAACTAAGTTTGGACTAAATATTAAGATGTACAAATTTTGAATGACAGACGGACAACGTACGGACGGACATGGCTAAATCGACTCCAAATTTTCTGAAACTGATTTGGTCCAAGGAAACATGCGGTCTAAAACCAATATTTCAATGAGGCACATTTTCACCGTATCAAAGTGTATATACCCCCTCATTAGCCTAAAGACTGAGGGTATAAAAATAATTCCAAAGTAATTATAGTGTGATTTTCTTTAATAAATAGATGAATTAACCCTTATTTTAGACATTAATATGCATTTACCTCCCGGAAGCATTTTTCGGAAAAAATGCATAACCTGAATATCCCACATATTGTATATAAATACTCAAGTTCGACTTTGTTCGCTGGGATATGAATAACAACCTTAAAATCAACCACAGCAAGCCTAAAAATATACTACGTTTTTTTAAATTAAATAAATGGAAACAAACGTCTATGTTTAAAACGTATAAATTGAGTATGAAGATAATGGAGCATTAGACAGTAATTCCGTAGACCTCTGCAAAACATAATGATACTAAGGTTAGGGTAGAAATCCATAGTTATCGGGATTCTTAAAAATATTATTTCAAATATTCGCGATTCGGATAGTTCTAGAAAACCCCCACTGTACTGATGAAAAACAGAAACTATATTTAGTTAGAGTTTTTTTTGACATTTTATTCTTTCGTAAAAAAATAATTGTCAATATTTTAACGTCCATAGCTGCCCTGACCTCCGATTTGGCCGTCGACACCACCACCAATACTACCTCCAAGTCCTGCACCAATATTTCCTCCAAGACCTGCACCAATATTACCATCTCCATAAATTCCAGCCGCTTCACTGCCTCCAAGCGATTGGGCAATAGCATTTGAATTAGAGATCGCTGTGGCGCCCGCCAATCCGGCTCCTCCCAAAATACCAGCCGATTCAGCAATGGCACTTGCTGAAGCATCAGCAGTAGCACTGCCTCCCAGCGATTCGGCTATGGCATTTGAATTAGAGATAGCTGTGGCACCCGCTAAACCAGCTCCACCAAAACTAGCGTCACCCAAGTTGCCAACCAAAGCACCTCTTTGGTGTAATCCCGCCTGGACCCCAGCACCATAATGACCAGCACTAACAGCCGCAATACCAACAGCGAGGGCAGCCAAAATGCTGAACAATTTCATTTTAACAAATTGTAGTTCAATTTTTTTCAGAAATAAAATTTTGTCTGGACTTCATCAAACGGCTCTGCGTTTTTATATATTTTTTTGCAAGAATCTGTCTGGAACTCCGTTAATATTCAAATAGGCCGAAACAAGCAAAACGAGATTTTATTAAATCATATTATTGTTCTGAATTTTATAATCGAATGCAGGAGTAGACATTGCAATTAACACTTGCAGCGATAAGTACACAGCTTGTAAATTTTTATATAATTTTGTTAGAAAATATATTTATTTAGGAGTAATAATAAAAAACAGGTAATAATTGTATAATTATAGCAATGCCACAGACCACAACAGGGGTGGATTTTTAAAAATTATTTTAAGAGTCAACAAGAGGCTTGGATTTCTTTTTTTTATATTTTTATGGCATCAATAGGCGTGGATTTTTTAAAGAATATTTTTTCAAGGACCATCAATAGGCGTGGATTTTTTAAGGAATATTTTTTCAAGGACCAATACAAGGCGTGGATTTTTTAAAGAATATTTTTTCAAGGACCAATACAAGGCGTGGATTTTTTAAAGAATATTTTTTCAAGGACCAATGCAAGGCGTGGATTTTTTAAAGAATATTTTTTCAAGGACCAATACAAGGCGTGGATTTTTTAAAGAATATTTTTTCAAAGACCAATACAAGGCGTGGATTTTTTAAAGAATATTTTTTCAAGGACCATTACAAGGCGTGGATTTTTTAAAGAATATTTTTTCAAGGACCATTACAAGGCGTGGATTTTTTAAAGAATATTTTTTCAAGGACCAATGCAAGGCGTGGATTTTTTAAAGAATATTTTTTCAAGGACCAATACAAGGCGTGGATTTATTAAAGAATATTTTTTCAAGGACCAATACAAGGCGTGGATTTTTTAAAGAATATTTTTTCAAGGACCAATACAAGGCGTGGATTTTTTAAAGAATATTTTTTCAAGGACCAATACAAGGCGTGGATTATTTAAAAAATATTTTTCAAGGACCAATACAAGGCGTGGATTTTTTAAAAAATATTTTTTCAAGGACCAATACAAGCCGTTAATTTTTTGAAAGAACATTTTTTCAAGGACCAATACAAGGCGTTAATTTTTTGAAAGAATATTTTTTCAAGGACCAATACAAGGCGTTAATTTTTTGAAAGAATATTTTTTCAAGGACCAATACAAGGCGTGAATTTTTTAAAGAATATTTTTTCAAGGACCAATACAAGGCGTGCATTTTTTAACATTTTTTTTAACACCATCAAGAGTCGTGGATTTCTTAGGTTTTTTTTTTAAACACCATCAAGAGTCGTGGATGTTTTTGAATAATATTTTTATGGTAAGCGTGGAGTATATTTTGAATTTAATTTCGAATATTGTTTATATTGTTCTGTGAAACTGGTTTAGAATGTTTTAACATATGTTCAGAAATTGTCTGTCATAATCGATAATAATCATTGCAAACAAACATTTGAAAAATCACGTTTATTTAAATATTATTTTCTTCAAAACAGAATAAAAATCCCCTAAAAATACTTGAAAAAATGAAATCTGTTTTTAGTATTTTTGTTTACACATGTAGGATTTTCGATATGCACAGTATTGACAATTCTACTAATTACGAAATATTTCAATTCAATTAAAACGGCACATAGTCATCAATTATTGATATCGAATTTCAAGCCAGTTTCATTTATTTTAAATGTTAGCTTCTGAAATCAAAATTGTTATGGGTTCTACTGCACCCAGTATAATTGCGATGATATAAAAAGACCACCAATGTTGTCCTAATTTCATTCAATCGTTTGTTATTCGATCCTATTCTACAAAAGATGAAATTCTTCGCGATATTGTTGGCCCTAATCATTGGCATTTTGGCTGTCAGTGCCAGTCCACAGAGAAAATTTAGAGGACCTGGTGGATTTCCAACTGGTGGAGGAGGAGGAAGTGCTGTTGCTAATTCCCAATCATCGGCTATTTCACAGGGAGGACCGGCTATAGCCATTTCGAATTCTATGGCTCAAAACCGTGGAAAATAAATATGGAATCTACAAGAATGGATATAAATGTAACAAATTATGAGAGATGATTTTTTTCTGAAAATAAAACAAAAATTAAATAAATAATTGAGTAAAAATATATTTTTAAAAAAAATTATTTTTGAAGCTCGTTGGTGTGATTCTTTGTAAAAAACATGCTTCGAAAATTCATGCTCTTTAGTCTGATGAGCCCGAAAAATATTCCTTAAAAAATAAACGATTAGTGGTCCACTTGGATGGGCTTTGAAACAACAATCTTTAAAAATCCAGGAACTATAATGGTCTTTGAAAACATCGTATATAAAAATCCAGGTCTAATAATGTCCCATGAAAAAATATATTTTAAACAAATAAATGTCTATTGAAGTCATTGGAAAAATATGCATTAAAAAATCCACGCCTTAAAGAGATCCTTGTCAAAAATATTCATTAAAAAATACAAGCCTGTGTAGGCCATAGAAAAAATATTCGTTAAAAAATACACGCCTTATAGAGGTCCTTGTCAAAAATATTCTTTAAACAATCCACGCCTTATAGAGGTCCTTGTCAAAAATATTCGTTAAAAAATATACGCCTTATAGAGGTCCTTGTCAAAAATATTCTTTAAACAATCCACGCCTTATAGAGGTCCTTGTCAAAAATATTCTTTAAAAAATCAACGCCTTATAGAGGTCCTTGTCAAAAATATTCGTTAAAAAATACACGCCTTATAGAGGTCCTTGTCAAAAATATTCTTTAAACAATCCACGCCATGCTGAGCCCTTGAAAAAATATTCTTTAAAAAATCCACGCCTTGTATTGGTCGATCCTTGAAAAAATATTCTTTAAACAATCCACGCCTTATAGAGGTCCTTGTCAAAAATATTCTTTAAAAAATCAACGCCTTATAGAGGTCTTTGTCAAAAATATTCATTAAAAAAACCACGCTTAGAGCCTTTGAAGCACTTCAAAAATATTCTTTAAAAAATCAACGCCTTATAGAGGTCTTTGTCAAAAATGTTCATTAACAAATCCACGCCTTATAGAGGTCCTTGTCAAAAGTATTCATTACAAAATCCACGCCTTATAGATGTGATTGTCAAAAATATTCATTAAAAAATACAAGCCTGTGTAGGCCATAGAAGAAATATTCTTTAAAAAATCCACGCCTGTGTAGTCCATAGAAAAAAAATCTTTAAACAATCCACGCCTATTGATGGTCCTTGAAAAAATATTCTTTAAAAAATCCACGCCTGTGTAGTCCATAGAAAAAAAATCTTTAAACAATCCACGCCTATTGATGGTCCTTGAAAAAATATTCTTTAAAAATTCCACGCCTATTGATAGTCCTTGAAAAAAAAAATCTTTAAACAATCCACGCCAATTGATGGCCCTTGAAAAAATATTCTTTAAAAATTCCACGCCTATTGACAGTCCGTGAAAAAATATTCATTAAAAAATCCACGCCTATTGATGGTTCTTGTAAAAACATATTCTTTAAAAAGTCCCGCCTGTTGGGCTTCTCGAATAAACGCCTGTTGGGGTCGTAGAAAAATATTCTTCAAAAATAGTATTTAAAAAATCCACGCCTATTGATGGTCCTTGCAAAAAATATTCATTAAAAAATCCACGCCTATTGATGGTCCTTGCAAAAAATATTCATTAAAACATCCACGCCTATTGATGGTCCTTGCAAAAAATATTCATTAAAAAATCCACGCCTATTGATGGTCCTTGCAAAAAATATTCATTAAAAAATCCACGCCTATTGATGGTCCTTGCAAAAAATATTCATTAAAAAATCCACGCCTATTGATGGTCCTTGCAAAAAATATTCATTAAAAAATCCACGCCTATTGATGGTTCTTGCAAAAAATATTCATTAAAAAATCCACGCCTATTGATGGTCCTTGCAAAAAATATTCATTAAAAAATCCACACCTATTGATGGTCCTTGCAAAAAATATTCTTTAAAAAATCCCGCCTGTTGGGCTTCTCGAATAAACGCCTGTTGGGGTCGTAGAAAAATATTCTTCAGAAAATCTACGCCTGTTGTGGTCCTTGAAAAAGTATATTCTTAAAAAATATATGCTCTTTTATAACAGGGTCCTTGAAAAAAATATTATTTTAGAAACACACATGGCCCTTGAAAAAAAAACATTCCTTAGTCCGCTGCCCTTAAATATAAAAAATCATTAAAAAAATCCCCAATTATAGGGTATTACATTGGTCAGAGAATACACGCCTTATAGAGGTCCTTACTAAATTGTTTAAAAAATCTACGTCTTATAGAGGTCTTTGTCCAAAATATTCTTTAAAAAACTACGCACCAAAACGTGGACCTACACGAACGTGAAAATATATAAATTGCAATAGCGATATAGCCCTTTAAATATTTAAGTTTCCAGCTCTGTAAGTCCTACAAAATTTATTTATGAAAAGCGTTCTATACATATCGATTATATGGCTCGATTAGTTACAAAAAAAATATATTTTTTAATAGATAATTTTGTTTACTTTATTTAAAATCAATAATTTTTTCACGTATTGTATTTATTTGCCATATGATTGAGCGAGCGCATCAGAATGGGAATATGCCGGTCCTGCTTGTGAGATGGCAGCTGATTGGGAATTAGCAATTGCACTTCCTCCACCACCATATCCACCACCTTGGAAACCTGGGTATCCACCACCACCGTATCCACCACCACCGTATCCACCACCACCGTATCCTCTATGAGGACCGGCACTAACAGCCAAGACTCCCATGACTAAGACCAACAAACCAGCGAAAAATTCCATCTTTCTTACAAGAAGATCGTTGCCAAAAATATTCTTTAAAAAATCCACGCCTTATAGAGGTCGTTGCCAAAAATATTCTTTCCTTGTCATATTCTTTGAAAAATCCTCGCCTTATAGTGGTCCTTGTCAAAAATATTCTTTAAAAAATCCACGCCTTATAGAGGTCGTTGCC